AAGGTGCGTGGCGTTAGCTACGTACTCTGAAAATTTTTTTTAAGCGATGCAAAATATGAACGTGTAATTAGTTATGGAGAGATTGTAGTTTGACTGGTTACAGATGGTTTGCAGAAGCAAGAAAAAGAAATAAATTCTACCTTTACTAGATTCTTACACATATGATCAAGATTCTTACATATGATCACAAGTTAGAGTCAACGTACAAAACATATTCCGTTCATGGCGTAACATATCTATAGTCTAAAGACTATCTATGAAGATCTACCTAATTTTCAGTCGACCATCTGGACAACATCGCTTTTGTGACTATTCGAACGCATCAAAACTTCATTAGCAGCCAATTTTTGGAGAATGTGGATTTGTATGTACCCGAAGATGGTAATCATATTGGTTCTGTCCATGGAATGCTCATGTAGTGTTGATTACGATATTAAGATCGCCCTACAGTTCGCAGACTTCCTGAACTCAGCTCACCTATGAAGGAATTGTCTTCAACAGAGGGCGATGTTTTACCAGATGAAGTTTTTCGTATGGTACATTTTCATACTCATCTTAGTCACAGTTTTCGTTAGACTGGTTTCGATTATGTTGTTTTAGGAACTACAAACGGCTGGGAAACTGGAATTGGATAACCCATTGAAAGATGTCCCTGATGAAGAAGTTGATTTGCTAGTGGATGAGGATTCTGGAAGTGATAGGGATGTGACAAATGAGGATGAGCAGCTATCTGAAGAAGGGTATGCTGGAAGCGACAAAGACGAAGTCAATGAGGATGACCATGAGTTGGATCAAGATTCTGACATTGATAGTATGGTCGTCAATGAAGGTGACTATCAGTTGGATCAGGACCCTGACAGTGGTAGTAAGGTCGTCCATGAAGGTTACCATCAGTTGGATCAAGACCCTGACAATGACAATAAGGTCAGTTGCATTGTTCGTTTTGGAGTTCCTAGCTGCATATGAAATTATGGTACTATTCCACATTAGTTGACCCAAAAAAATGAAAATC